ACAATTTTGTGATTTAAGGATTCGATTGTAACAAATAAGTGAATCATAAATTGAAAGTGTTATATTAATATGAATCTTATATAAGTCTTCTACAGAATCACTTGCCGTATACCTGGCTCTTATGGTTCCGCAAAGACTAGAAGTACTCTAGTTGAACGTTAAAGTACTGTCATTATCTAATCCTTCCGAGTAAATAGGCTTATCCACCTGCCTACTTATATCATCTTCCTTATTAACTGCCAAGGGTGCTTCTTTTAATAAGGTGGTGGCTGCATTTATAGGGGTAGTAGAAGACTAAACTAATGAAAATGAGATTGGGATAAATTGAATTGATTAAGAGGGATAGACAAAGGAAGTGAGAAATTAATAATAGTGTACTTTGTGGGATTGTTATTGGGAGTTGAGGTAGGAACATTTGTTTCTAGAGAGGGTTCAGTAATCTCAAAAGTAGTAATTTGTGTAGAGGTCAAAGTGGAATTAAAAGAAATGTTATTAGGTGTAGAAGAAGTGTTTACAAGAAAAAGTGAATCATCAATATTGGAAGAGACTACAAAGTTTAAATTAAATTTGGTAACAATAATATTTTCAGCTTGTTTGCATGCATTGTTGATATAATAATTAGAAGTTTGAGAGAGTGTAGGTTGTTGATCTTTGATAATGTCAAAGTATGTTATAATTTGAGCAAGAAAATCAGTTTCAATAAGATTTTGGGTAACTAGATTGATAGCTTGATCTTTAGAGAGTTTGTCAATATTGTGATTTTGAGCAGCAATATTTTGATAGGTGATGAAGTATTTATAGAAGAAGAAATTGCGACAACTAGTAGATGTAGGAGTGAAATTATTATGACAGAAAGTTTTTTCGGCTTGGTCAGCTAATTCATGAAGAGTTGAAATAGGAATTGGTAGTTTAAATATGGCTTGGTACTTATAATTGATGAAGAATATTGATGTATCAATATTTAAGTCTTGTAAGTCAATATCTTTTTTGGGAAAAGTATTATAGGAATCCTTTAAGATTGCTTTAAAAAGTTTTGATATGTCATGTTTATGGTCAAAGACATAGAAATAGTTGATGTGCTTACATATGAGTAAATAAAAATTAAGATAACAAAAACATTCATTATATCTATCTTGAAAATTATAAGGTTTGAAGAAGGAAATATCTGAGGGAAGTAAAAGTTTAAGTTGGGTTATAAACTGTTTTCTAATTTGTAATTGAAGAAAAAGTTTAGTATCTTCTTTGTTGGGGATAGAGATAAATTATTTACTATATAAAGAAAAGACATTTTTAAACCAGGTCTTAAAGATGGGATAGAAAATTGTTCAAGAAAGAGAGTTTTAGGAATGTTAAAAAGTAATTGTACATTAAATCTGTTATCTGATTTAATAGTAAGATATTTGTCATTCTTATCATAGAAAATAATGGAAGAGATAAATTTAAAGTTTTTAGAGCAAAACTTGAAATTTTTAGCAAATTTTTGTAATTAATAGCTTGATAGTTGTTAGAGAGGTATAGATGCAGATAAGCTAGATTAAGGCAAAATTGTAATCAATTTGCAGTATTGTATAAGGGAATACTAATAGAAGATATAAAGATTTTAGCATAGTTAAATTTGGTGAAAAAGATTGTAGTAAATTTGAGAAGAATTTTTTTAAAGGTATCTTCAAGAATATGAAAAGGAATAGGAGCATCTTGATCAATAGAAGGATTAATCTTATAGATGTAATCAATAAGAAAGTTAGGACATGCACTGGCTATTACATGGATGATGTGATAAAAGCTAGATTTGAGAGGTTGCCTGTTGTTAGATGTTGCTTTTTTAAGAGTACTGCCAGGGTAAAAGTTATGAAAATGTGTTTTGAGGAATGTAAAAAGTTTTAGAAAGAAATTGGTTCGAAATTGGTATTAGGTTTCATGGTATCAGTTATAGGAAAATTATAAATCTAGTCAAAAAAAGGATTTTGTTTGGGGTGAGAAGTAGGTTGGTTAGAAGGTGAAGAATTGGATTTTTGTTGCAGTATGGAAAGTAGGTTTGGCTTTGAGGTTATTTGTTTTTAGATGTAGAACTTTGTGTAATTGAAGAGTAAGTTGATTGAAAGGTAAAAGAGGACAGATATGAATTCGGAAGTTGATAGGCTTGAGTATAAGAAGATAAAGATGAGGATGAGGCTACAAATTGAATAGAAGGCTAAGTATCGGTAATTGGTTGAGTAAGAGAAAGGTTTGATATAAATTGACTAATAGAAGTGCTAACATTTATCATTTTTGCAACAAAGCTAGAAGCTTCATTATCAAGGAAGTCTGGATTATTTGAGGGAAAAGAAGTTTGGTTAGTAGTTAGAGTAGAAGAGTTAGTAGAGGTATTATAAGTAACAGAATCAAGTTTAGGAACGTCATTAATGGGTATTAAGAGATGTAAAGAGTTTTGAATAGGGGAACTATGGATATATTCGGATACAGAGGAGGGTAAAACAGAAGCAAAATGACTTAGAAAACCAGGTTTAGGGGATAGGTCAGATTAATAAGGAAGTGAAAGGGATCAAAGGCGGGGAGTGGGGGTTGGGAAGAGTTTGATTGGTTTGACTGAGTAATTGAAGTTTGAGCAATTGAGGCTTGTAGGTGTTGATCAGTATGAGTTGTAAAGAGTTAAAAAATAATAAGGATGGTTTAAGTAGGTAGTTGGTATTGGGATCCTGGGGTATTGAAAGAGGCAAGTAGTTTAAAATAAACAGTAGAAGTAGGAGTAGTTAGAGTAGGTGAAGAGACAGGTGATTTGAAGCACAAACATGCTTTGTGAAATAGTTGATTATTAGAGAATAAAGCATTTTTATCAAGTGAATAGAGTTCAAAATCTGGTGTAAAGGTATATAGGATAGGCTGTTGACAAATAGTACATCAGTATTGGCATTGAGTTGAGTTACGAGCAGTGTTAGAAATCTTATATTCTTATGTTCTCATAAAAACATCTTTTTAGATTTGAGAACATTTGATATTTTATATATGTTCTCTATGAATAAAAATTTGAGAACATTATGCTAAAAAAGCATGTTCTCTAAGTATAATAGCAAAATTATGAATGGAAATAGAAATTCCAAATTTATCTGAAAGAAAAATGAATAAACTTCAAGGAGAGAAGTGTTGGGATAAAAATTAGTACAAATATCTGATAAGTTCTGAAAATAGAGATATTAATAATTTTAAAGATTAAATATTGAGAATATAAATTAAATTTTGAGAACACTAAATCAAATAAATATGTTCTCATGAGAACATAAATCTCAAAACAGATTTCTAACACTGGTTACGAGGTGAATGTTGGCTTTGGGATTGATTAATAGAAGGGTGAGTAGGAGTATTAGATAATTTAGAAGAGGAAGGTTGAACAACAGAGGTAAATTTGTTATGATATTTTTTGCAGAAGCAAGTTATGATAGCAGCAGTATGAAAGGCTTGAAAAAAGTGGGTATTTTTACCTGCACTATGTAGTTGAGTTAAGCATTTAGTAGGAGTGACACCTTTATTTGTTGGTCTAGTACTGTTAGGTCTATCTTCATAGATCCAGATACCCAAATGATTGGGTACTGGGATAAAAAGGTGTCAAGATTGATGGTATCAGGTTGTTTGGTACTAAAAGTAGGCATTTGAGTTGTTTTTAACTTAAATATTTGAATAGAAATAAATTAGGCATTGTAGAGCAATAATAATAATGAATTATTGTAGAGAATGAAAAGAGCTTCGAAATGGTATAAAATTTGTTTTGTGTAATATAGATCACAAAAGTCAAGGTAGGTTATACAAATCACGTGCAGGTCATGTGCAGGTCACGTGTTATACAAATGTTACTTATAACCTGAGTATGCCCCGTAAAACTTGGGTGATATTGCTAAATTAAAAATAGAAAGAATGCAGAGATAAAAATAGTTAATTTGTGTAATAAAACTTAAAAATAGTGTAAATGAGGAGAACCACTAATGTTGAGGTATTTGAAAATGTGGGTGATGCAGGTTGAGGTTACACAAAAACGTCTAAGTGGTTTTTGCCAAAATGTTTTAGAAAAAAAGAAAAAAAATAGTAAAAGAGAATTGTAGGGAGTTAAAGCAGTAATTTGGATGTAGCTCTGTTAGTTTTAAAGCTACAGACTTGTGCTATAGCTTGTTATAATGGGAACCGTGAGCTTTTTAACTTTTTCTAAGCTTAAACAGTATATTAAAAAGGCTGTTTGGTAGTTATTTTAAGTAAAGTACAAAAGCAGGCCAAAAGGCCTTAACTTGATGACTTTGCAAGTTTTAGCAGTAATATTTAGATATTATATATAGCAAGAAGGAAGAAACAAGTTTACTTAAGAGACAAAACTATATTTATATAGTAAAATAATGAGCAATAAAGTATTTTTGAAATAATTAAAGTAAGAATTTTTGTATACAAGTAATAGTCAGGAAGAGTTACAACAATATATTATTATTATTATTATTATTATTATTATTATTTGAAAGATGTCTTTATTGTTATTACCTATTTCTATTTTAATTAATTTTACTTCAGTTTTTAGATTTTTCATTTAATAATATTTTTCTTCCAATTTGGATTTTTAATAGTTTAATAGTATTTTTTTTTGAATCTCTTTGCTAAGTATCGTTGTTTTTTTGTGTTATTAATGATTGTTGTGTGTGATATTAGGTATTGGTTTATTGCCACGTCTATTTGTCTTGATATAATTTTATTTTTTCTTTTATTTTTCATTAAATTTTTCACTTTTCTTTTTTATCTTTTTGTTGAAATCTTTACTTTGCTTCGTTCGTTGTTGATGGTCAAACCTATTTTTGTCTTATATTTTCTGTTCATTATACTTGACACATATATTTGCATACTCCTTGTTAGTCATCATCCTGAAATTTTTTTATATTGAAGTAAGTTATAGTTAGTATTGTTATCATTATTATTTCGTATTTTAAATGTATTAATATTGTTTTTATTAATAAAATTTATATTATTAATATTCAGTCAAACCTCTCTAAGTGCAGAATATTAAAGGAGAATGAGATTTGTTTTGTTGAACATTCAGAGTTTGGAGACCCAATGCAATTTTGGTTACGATCCTTTGAAATTATTTTCACAAGTTTAGTATTAATTTCACATCCATCAAAGGGTCTTTTACTAGTCGATATTTCTGCTATAATTATTCCAAATCTATGAAAATTTGCTGCCTTTGTTAATGGCTTATCTTTTATAAAACTTTGTGCATGTTGACAAAAAAAAGTCAACTAATCGAAAAGATAGGAGAGAGTGTTCAAAGTCACATGCTACGTGCTTCAACCCTTCCTGTTCAGGGAGAAAAATTCAGAGTCAAAATTTAGTGTGCATTGCATATCAAATTTTAAACTTAAGTGTACTATCTGATGGGTAGCATGCAATTAGACAGTATTGACTGTATATTGCGCACATAATATTAAAATTATTATTAAAAAATTATATGCGCTTTGTGCACATTATTATATTTTTTGTGCGCAAAAAATTTTTATATGCAGAGTGCACAAGCATACATCGAATTTTTCTCCCTGTTCCTGTTAATGCAAGTGGGGGACTGGAATTTCATGCGAATACAACTAAGCAACAGAGTAGAGACATCAGTCCATAATAGTTTTTTTTTCACATGAATATAGCTGTATAACAGTTTGAGACATCAGTCCATAATAGTTTTTTTTTCACATGAATATAGCTATATAACAGTTTGAGACATCAGTCCATATAGATTTTCATGCAAACACAGCTAATAACAAAAAGCTATCATTTTTAATTAATATAAAAGAAGTAACAAATAAATTGATTTTTAATATTTTTTTCTTTCTTCTTATAACACAATCAAACATTATAATCATTATTTTCTCGACCCAACCTTTTCTACCTTACATAGTGAAAACACTTTTTTGATTATACTATTTTCTTTTTTAATAGCCAGCCTGCCTTGTATAGGCTGGAAACCATCAGCTAATGCTGCTTCTCACTTATTTTACTGTTATCCCTTAAATTGTAACACAGGCAAATTTGCCTGCAAAGATTTTTACTAATTTTTTTAATATTTAAATTTTTTAA